ATATATATATATATATGTATATATATATATATATATTGTAGTATGTGTGTATATGTACATTCTGACTCGACTCGACTGGCCATGGCGGCAGGAGAACATGGTTTCTTTTTTGTATTCTCAGCCATTTGATCATGTATAATTAATCTTTCACTTTCTATCTCTATTATATATAAATATATATCTGTTTCATCGCGTTTCCTATCCGGAAATGTAGAGTCGAATTTTTTCGCGTTGCAATTCGAGCATCGTGTGCGAGCATGATGCGGGAGCATGATGCGGGAGCATGATGCATGATGCGGGAGCATGATGTGCGAACGTGATACAGTGGTATCGTGCGCCATCGTGATGTGGCAGGAGCATGATGCGCGAACATGATGCAGGAGCATGATGCGCGAACATGATGTAGTAGCATGATGCGCGAACATGATGCAGGAGCATGATGCGGTAGCATGATGCGCGAACATGATGCGGTAGCATGATGCGCGAACACCATGATGTGTTAAACATGATGTATTCATATGTTGTATAACATGCGGTGTTGCCGTAGTGTGCGTTAGCACGATGTGCGAACACGCCGCAATGTTGCAATGACCAATGATTGATGATATGTGACTGTTTAGTTGTGGCATACTATATATGTTCTTTCAAATTTCTATGTATTTATGCATATTTATGTTAAATTTATTTACTAATCGATGTTGTATTCAAGTTGTGAGCTGACCAAAGACCGGACGCGTGTAATATTATCAGTATATTTATTTCAATGTTTATTATAATTATGTACATATATGTATGTATATACATATATTGTATATTTGTATATGTATATACTTACATGTATATATGTAGGGTTAATAACAGCACTTTTGTGTTGTGTTGGTCAAACGATTCCCGTAAACAATTTTACTATTTGTTTAGAATTGTAAGTTAGCTTTTAAACTTTTTCCGTTTTTATCAGCGTGACCTCGTCGCTCGGGGTCATCCACACGTCACATCTCGGGCGTCTCGATTGTTCTCACAACTTTTAGGTATTAGTTTTGAGACGATTTTTTGTCCTCGTTGTTTTCTGTCCCAGTGTCAATGCGTAGCTATAGGTTTGGCATCATCAGGAGTTTTCATAGGGGGTGTAAATATTTAAGGGTAAAAAACTACGGCCAAGTTTTTAGTTACCGTCGCTGAGGACACGTAAACGCGGGTTAACAGAGCGCGCACGCACGAGAGAGGGCGCTAGCAGTACAAAGCAAGCATCGGCCACCAGGCGAGATCTCTCACCTACTCGGGCGAGGCGAGCAGCACCCAGACTGATAGATATAAATAATATATTGACATTTTTCCTTCCCGACATTCCAGTTACAATAGGCGAGTCGAGTCCCCGTGCGACGCTGCGGTCGCGTTTAACGCCCGCGAATGCTCACTTGTTTGGTCGCGTCGCCTGTCGTCTAGAGTCCCTTTATGTAGATTATATTAGCTGTGTAAAGGGAGTCTGGTTTCGCTGAAGCGTCCGTCTTGCTAGCTACTGCCCGAGCCTGTTTCAGCAGTTGCAACCAAGTGAGCATCCTTACGTGCGCAAAATGGCGGTCGCGCGCGCGGCGAGAGCTTCGACTCGCCCGGTTTCCACTGCTCATGCGCAAAAAACGGTGGCGCCACCTGTCCGGTTGTGATGAAACAAAAGAGCAGCTGCTCTTGGTTGCTGGTCTTTTCAGTAGCAGGGCGTTTTAGGTATAGCGACTAGTCTATTACTCAGGTAACGTTCAGTTGTGTGGTACTCGTCATGCTTCTTATTTATCCCCACGTCACGTCCTTCCAGGTCGTGCGTGCGGACCTTTGTCTTCTTTTTGGCTTACTGTCCGTCGTTCACACATCGTCCATGCAGACGTGGTATATATTTCGGAAAGAATAGTGGTTATGAGTAGAGAAGGCGCAGCGGAACAAAGAGGGGTCGGGGGTGAAGGAGGGAGGTATGAGCAAGAGGAGACAGAGAATGTGTAGGAGGGTGAAGGAGGAGGATGGTGATGAGGAGGCGGGTTTAATTTTACGTACGGCAGCGTATTGTAGCTTCATTCTCTTCGTACATGTAATCGGCTTTCGAACATGACTTACATGCGTCTCAATCCCCTCAAAACCACATTCGGCTCAAATCATTCAAGTTATGGGGGAGGGGAGGGGGAGGTTCGCGTAGCCCTTGTTTGCGTTTTTCGCGTGGGATCTTTTCCTGCAGGCGCACGGGCCTGTAATTTAGGCTATTTTTTTCTCGGAGCGGAATTCCGTTGTCCTCTTGTTCATGACCGGAAGTGTTACTGTCGCCTTTTATACTCGCAGGTTGCAAGTTGGGTGTGTGTGTGTGTTAGGTGCGTGTTTCGACGGGACAATTGTACATATGTGAGTTTCCCTTGCTCTCTGATTATCATCGGTGGCACTTACTAATGCTTCTCTGCGGTTGAGTACTGGAGTAGCTTTTAGACGAGTATACCCCCCCCCTCTGCGCGCGTTTTCTAAAGGTGCGTGTGTCTACTACTGTCGGCTGCTGTGTATTGGGACGTAGGCGGCGGTGGTCTACCGTCTACTTCGGTCGTCTGCTTGGTTTGTATAGACCTTGGTTTGCTGCCCCGAGGATGCATCCCGTTAAGGTTATCCTCGCGTGAGAGACAAGTTGCTACATAGAGACTTACATCTAGACTTCAGGGGTGCAGGGGACGGCGCCCTTCTTTGACCTGTATACCAATGTGCGTTCGGTAACCGTCGTCGAAAAGCGTGTTCACGCAAATAGGAACGAAGGTATGTGTAAATTCCATCCATGGGTCCGTCACAGTGTTGTTGACAGATTTTAACTTGCGTAGTTTTTTTTTCGCGCAGTGTGAGGGCATAGAATTCTCACCGGGTACTCGGTTGAATTTGACGAAATCATTTTCTTGTGCTTGGATCTCTTGTTTTGCGTCGATTTCCTGGTTTTGGTGAAGTTCTCGCACCGTGGTGCTGAGAATTACACAGCCTATAGCGCTGCCCTTCACACAGCTTGGCCGCTGCTGCTGCTGCTGCTGCTGCTGCTGCTGCTGCTGCGTATTTTTCTTCTATCGTTCTGACATGCCATTATACGTCATAGGCGAGAGGGAGAGAGGGGGCGAAGGAAGGAGAAAAATGGGGATTGCGAGGTAGAGTAACAAAAAGGGTTAGAAGCTAAGGCGGTTCCAGATAAGATAATGCGAGAGAATAAAAGCAAGTGTGTGTATGTGTGTGCGTGTGCGTGTGCGTGCGTTCGTTCGTGCGTGTGTGTGTGTGTGTGTGTGTGCGTCGTTCGTGCGTGTGTGTGTGTGCGTGAGTGTGTGTGTGTGTGTGTGCGTGAGTGTGTGTGTGTGCGTGCGTGCGTGCGTGCGTGAGTGTGTGTGTGTGTGTGTGTGTGTGTGAGAGAGAGAGAGAGAGAGAGTACCAGCCTTATTCTCCCACATTACCTCCTATCTTCCGCATGGTGGAAACGTGGTAGCGACAGTGTGTGTAACCTCGAAAGACAGCCATTTCCCATTGATCAGTTTAACGTGGCCTACGTTTAATTAGTTGATTCACGAATTACGCAGTATTTCTGAAAGTTTGCTTTATAGGTATCCTCGTTTGTCGCGGTCAATCTGTAGCGATGACATTGCTAAACTCATAAAGCCATTATTTCATATATTTTTTCCTGCTAGAAAACGTGTTTTTGTCATTTTCCGAATAGACCGTTTTGCTGTAATCTATTCTGTAAACTTTTAAAATAATTTAACAGCGGAGGATGAGGTGGGCACATGTGAATTGCCGTGTGGCTTTTGTGTACGAACTAAAAGTTGAATCGTGTATAATAGCTATGTACAATCTATACATAATAGTACTGACAGTCTGTCTCCATCAGCCCCTCAACTAGTCACTATAAACAGTACATAGAGTACATTATGATTGTGATTTTATGCAATTTGTGCAGTCTGTGGTAGTTAGAACCATGTTTCTTCGTCACGTATTTAAACAGTGATCTATCACCCGTACTATATAGTGTTGCCGTGTTTATTTTTTAGACATTTCTTTATGAAGATAATAAAGAAATAGCATAAAAGTAGTCTTGTGCGTTTGCTTTTATCTGGTCTCGTGATTAGTTTGCGCTTGTTAATTGGATTTTAATTACGCTGTGCAGCAGTGCATGGTTGCAGAGTGCTAATGCATCGTGTAATATAGCATGTAATCCATCCACACACACACACCACGGCTAAATGTGACACAACACACGCCCGAACTGCAATGCAGTAAACCAATTATAATCTATAATATATGCGTATATAATTAACTATTTATTAAAATGTTCATTTTACTATTTTTATGGCAAATATCGATGGAAGCTCGGTGTACAGTCAAAAGGGGAGACGGAAAAGGTCAGAGGACGAGCGTATGTGTGTGTATATATATATATCCGGCTAATAGTAATTTCAACGTACTGAAGATAAAACACCACCTATATACGGTAATATAATATACCGTTGCAATAATGGATAAGAGTAGTTTTAGGCATTTCTTGCTCTGTGTAATTTGAGTCAATATAAAAAAGCAACATCAGGGCTGTGGCGTGAGCATATTCGTAGCGGGTAGTGGCAGAATTACGCAAAACGGCTTAGAAATAACGTGGGAATACTTTTTTACGGTTTCAAAAAATAAACCGCATATAGAATAAGTTCATTTCGTTGAAATTGTGCATTTACAGTGGCAAGGCAATTTCGCGAATGCATCTCTCGCGGGCACCCTGCTTGCGCACCTTGTGCGTCTCGTTAGACATTTATCATGCTATACAACTCTCGGGTTTACGTTTTCTTGTTTAACTATGTATTACAACAACATACGATTCTTATCTGCAGATACTGAGTAAGTCTAAACTCAGCAAATATAACTGGGAATTAAACTCCCATAATATAACATGAACATACCATGAACTTGATCATAACATGAACCTGACAATCTGACATGAACATATGATAACATGACAACATGAACACAAGACAAAATGAACAGAGCATGAACATAAAATAACGTCAACCGAAAATGTACATTACCATAACATGAACCTGACATGAACAGATGATAACAGTATGAACACAAGACAAGATGAACAGAGCTAAACATAAAATAACGTAAACAGAAAATGAACATGATCGTAACATGACCATAACATGACATGAAAATAATATTATAATATAATATAATATAATATAATATAATATAATATTAATATAATATAATATAATATCAATATAATATATATAATATAATATATATAATATATATATAAATATAATTAAAAAACGTATCGTAACGTAACGTAACGTAACAAAATAGTACAGAACATCTCAAAAACGTTGACGATAATCATTTGATATAGAGAGCAGCACATTCGCGTCGCTAGAGGAACGTCAACAGGAAAAGTAAAGAAAATGTCTACTCCCGTAAATGACTTGGAAGATGGTGTGAAAGAGCAAGAAAGCCGTCGGGTATGGAAGCTAACTACTTACATAGACGTGTAGATTTTGACACAAAGTTTGTAGTGTAAACCCAGCTTTATTCGTTAGCACAGCCACAGTCACTTGTAAATTGTAGTTGTAGGCTTACTGAGGCGTCCAATAAATTGTGCCTAAATTTTTTTATTTCTGATGTTATTTTAGGGGCCAATAGTCTTCCATAGACAAAACCTGTGAATTCTGTCATGCAAAATGCACGACAACCTTTTCACTATTTACGGCCGTGTTACATAGAAAATCAAAGAAATACCTAAAGCCGTCGCTTTATTAACATCTTACCTACATTACAAAATACTTGTCATGCAGTAGTACTAGTAGTAGTACTACTAGGATATTCTCCTCTGTAATCACGTTTATTTTATTAAAACATTACGACATAAAAATCACGCAAAATTCGCTACACACAAAACTGCCAATCTTGCATTGAACCGCACAACGACATTTCTCACCGGCCAATGAAATCATTGCTGTGACGCTGTCCGGTGCGGTTCAATGCAAGATTGGCAGTTTTGTGTGTAGCGAAGTTTGCGTGATTTTTGTCGTGATCGATGTTTTAATAAAATAAACGTGATTAAAGAGGAGAATACTGCATGACAAGTGTTTTGTAATGTAGGTAAGATGTTAATAAAGCGACGGCTTTAGGTATTTCTTTGATTTTCTATGTAACACGGCCGTAAATAGTGAAAAGGTTGTCGTGCATTTTGCATGACAGAATTCACAGGTTTTGTCTATGGAAGGCTATTGGGCCCTAAAATAACATCAAAGTATAAAAATTTTTAGGGCACAATTTATTGGTCTAACTTGAGGCAAGATTCTTCGGTGGTTTATCTCTCTAGGAAGTTATCGCGAAATACAAGTTGACGATGAATATGGTGTCGTTGAACTGAGATCAGTCGCTTACTTTTAGATTCAAACTTCAAGCAGCAGCGTCTGCCGGCATGGCAACCGATCCTGACGGCTGGAACCGTGCTACCGATGTTCTTTGTCATCGGCATTCTCTTCATCCCCATAGGCATCGGCCTTCTCGTCACATCGAACAACGTGAGACTATAACTATATTGTATAGGAATAATCGTCGGGCCTCTGCTTTAAAGCGAGGATTTCTCATGTTTTTACCAACCGTTTTCATAATGTCTCAACCGTTCTGGTACTTACCAGTAGAAATCAGTAATATTTACGCTGACAGGCGAGTCTAAATTTGTGTGAATTTTCTTGTTCGGTTTATTATTTGAGAAACGATCGTTTTAACGTAAGTTGCAACGTATTAGCAGTTGTGGGAAAACTGCTTGCAGGAGAACCTTTGAACTGTTCTAATCCAATTCTTGCCAATCTAAACACATTGGTGTATGCCAGAGTGGAGCGTAGTAGCATGCATTTGCAGGGCCATTAGATCTGTCCCTGGTGGGGTTTTTGTGTGTTAAAAATCGACCAGGAACATGTCTAACCGATAGGTGGCGCATCATGCTGACTGTCAAGTGATAAGGACAGACACCCTGCCTTAATAACAAAAAGCATCTTGTAAGCATACGTGCTCATGCTTCTCATCTGCATTGCCCTCAACTTTTCGAGCTAGCCTTGTTGAGTCAAGGTCAATCGAAGCCCTTTGAGCTGATATGGCCTTGCCCTCTACGGACCGAAATTGTTTAAAATCCCATTTTTAGCTGTGCGCTGCTACTCCCGTCACTTGTGTACGTATTATTTGCATCTGACAATGCATGATTACGTACCGGAAGTACCTGTTCTGCATCATCATCATCAGAAGAAGAAGAAGTAGAAGTGACATTCTGTTGTTTTTTTCGTGGCTAGAGAGTTTTACATGGTCAGGTTCATTCTTACGAGCATGTCCACAGGTTGTGGAGCACATTGAAGATTACACGGACTGTAACTCTGAATCGGGGAACAGGACTTGCGCAGACATCATCGGACCGGACATGGTCAGCAGCAACGGATCTACATGCATCTGTAGGATCCGGTTCAAATTGGCAATAGAGATGCCTGTAAGTACAAGGTCCTGTTTGCTCCCCTCCCTCCTACCCCTGGCATATGCTATTTAGTACTGTCTCACTGCAGATTGTTATCACTGCATATAATGCAAACAGGAATCTTTACCCATCGTCAATTTGTTATGAAACGTCTCAGTGAGCAGTCTCGGTGAGCAAATAAATAAACAAGTATATATATATATACTAGCGGGGTGTTGCCCGGGGAAATCAGTGGCGTTACTCAGTTGGTGACCACTTGGTTGAAAGGAAAATACCCAGAAAAATCTAACTATCTATCTATCCATACATCCATCCCATTCCATGCCATCCCATCCCATCACACCGCATCCCATCCCATCTCATCGCATGCCATGACATCCCATGCCATCCCATGCCATGCCATCCCATCCCATCCCATGGCATGTCTGTGTGTGCCTCCCCACTGGCATATATGCTATTTAGTACTGTCTCACTGCAGATTGTTATCACTATTAATATTATATATAGTGTAAACAAGTCTTTACCCACCGTCTATTTGTTACGAAAAGTTTCAGTGAATAAACAAACAAAATAAGTAAATATATCATTATGTGTCGTATTGTAACGGATACCACACAATACCGAATAACGGCATCATCGAAATTCCAGTACGAACCCGTGATGTTATAGATGGCAGAAACACGTAGCAATTCATGCAATCTCTCCACAAACCGTGTTCGCAGGCGCCCGTCTACATCTACTACGGCCTGACGAACTTCTACCAGAACCACCGGCGCTACGTGAAGTCACGCGACGACAACCAGCTGCTGGGCAAGGACGTGACGAAGGTGAGCAAGGACTGCGCGCCGTTCGACACGACCGAGCCGGACGGCCAGGGCACACCGTACGCTCCCTGCGGCGCAATCGCTAACAGCATGTTCAGCGGTGAGTAGATTCGCGAGCAGACGAAGAATGGTCGCTTGTTTCATGAGCAGACGAAGAATGGCCGCTTGTTTCACGAGCAGGCGAATAATGGTCGCTTGTTTCACGAGCAGGTGAATAATGGCCGCTTGTTTTGCGAGCAGACGAAGAATGGCCGCTCGTTTCACGAGCAGACGAAGAATGGTTGCTTGTTTCACGAACAGGTGAATAATGGCCACTTGTTTCGCCGAGCAAACAGATCGCTTAGACGTGAGCCAATCGCGCGGGGTGCGTGCGCCCGTGCAGCCGCGGGGTGCGTGGGCCCGTGCAGCTGCGGAACTCTCACGACGACTGCGCGTCAGAATTTCGGTCGTGAGCTGTTATTGACGGCGATTTTTCTCCTCCAATCTCGCAGATTCGTTCGATTTGTTTTTCGAGAACGAGGAGAATCACACCAACGTGAAGGTCGACAACACCGGCATCGCGTGGCCCACCGACAAGAATGCAAAGTTTGACAACCCCGAACCGAAGAACGACCTTCCGACAGGTAAGAACGAAAGGATGAGAGAGAGGAGAGGAAGAAAAAGAAAGAGAAAAAAATGAGAGGCCAGCACTAATAAATTCTTTACTCAGTATTTATAGATATTGAGTTGTAATAGGAGAGGTAATGGAACTTCAAACTGCGTAATGAGCGTGCGCAGCCGTGCTGTGTTACGCGATTCAGGTTTGTCGTTTCATGTATGTTCTCCATGGTTCGTACACAGTTCTGGAAAACCTAGATAGTCCTGGAATTCTAAAAATACGATCTTCGGGGTGCTGGAACATCCTCGAAAATAGCTTGTTTTGGGGTTTAGTCCGAGAGAGATTTTTAAATTGAACTCCCACATATCTCATCTGAGAGGCATTAAAATTTGAGTCTTGCAAGTGTTTATTCATTAATCGTTAGTTGGACAATACGAGACACAAGGGTTTTATGCGACTAAAATGAACGTGAGTTACCGTTGTGGGGAATTGACCTTTCAAGTTCTCAAAAACGAAAGACAAAAAACGTTTTGCAATGTCTGCAATGCATGTTTTGGAATGTCTGAGGGCAATGTCTGCTGCTGGGTGTACGATCCCAGATTTTAGTCATGCCGCGATTTCTCGTGTGTCGTCGTTCGCTCGCACGTAGCAGTCATAGACTGGCGCTCCTAACTCGGCCGTCTTTCGTCTCGGCAGCGTTCATGGGCACGGTGAAGCCGCTCTACTGGAGCCAACCCGTCTACGAGCTGGACGCTAAGAACCCGGCCAACAACGGCTACAAGAACGAGGACCTGATCGTGTGGATGCGCACGGCTGCGCTGCCTAACTTCCGCAAGCTGCACCGGCGCGTCAAGCACACGGACTCGCCCTTCCAGAAGGGCCTGCCCTCCGGAGACTACACCGTGCGCATACAATACTGTGAGTGCTGGCGGCGGCGACGGCGGCAGCGCTGCTGGTGGTGGTGGTGGTGGTAGCAGCAGTGATGGTGGTAGTGCTGCTGCTGCTGCTGCTGCTGCTGCTGCTGCTGCTGACGTTATTGTTGTAGTTGTTGTTGTTGTTGTTGTTGTTGTTGTTGTTGTTGTTGTTGTTGTTGTTGTTGTTGTTGTTGTTGGTGGTGGTGGTGGTGTTGGTCGGGATGGTAGTGGTGATGGTGGTGGTACTCGTACTGGTATTGGTGGCAGCAGTGTAGGTGGTGGTGTTGGTCGGGATGGTAGTGGTGATGGTGGTGGTACTCGTACTGGTATTGGTGGCAGCAGTGTAGGTGGTGGTGTTGGTCGGGATGGTAGTGGTGATGGTGGTGGTACTGCTGCTGCAGCTGCTGCTGACGTTATTGTTGTTGTTGTTGTTGTTGTTGTTGTTGTTGCGGCGATGGTGCTGGCGGTGGCGGCGGTGTTGGTACTCGTACCGGTACTGGTGGCAGCAGTGTTGGTGGTGGCCGGTGGGGCATGGTGGTGTTACTGGTGGTGGCAGCAGTGATGGTGCTGGTGCTGCCGTTACTGCTGATGATAGCTGTGGTGGTGATGCCTGTGCACGGTGGTGGTGGTGGTGGTGATGCCTGTGCACGGTGGTGGTGGTGGTGATGCCTGACAGCCTGTGCGCAGTGTTGGTGGTGATGGTCATGGCAGCCCTTCATTGAATTCGCAGCATCGTAAACCCACGCCCCGTGTTTGTTCTTTCTCGCTGCAGCGTACCCGGTGAAGTCCTTCCAGGGCACGAAGACGTTCATCCT